GAGGATTGAACTCAGGCCCTTGTGCTTGTCAGGCAAGTGCATATTCTACTGAGCCATCTCCCTGGCCCTTGTTTTCACTTTAAGACAGGGTCTTATTATGTTGCTAAACTGCCCAGGCTGAACTCAAACCTGTGGTCCTCTTTGCCTGACGTTCAGTTTATGATTTTGTATTTTTCTGCAGCAAATTTCCACTAAATGGGTGGCTTATAAAGCCAGAAAATGCATTCCTTCCTTGCACACCTGCTGTTGGATTTAGGCCCACCCTGACCTCGAAGAGCAGCGCCTAAATATCACCACTCATGGTGCTAAGCCCTGATGTCTGGATCACTCCCAGGAGAAGGAAGTGTCGAGCTGTCACGCTGGCCCTGCCTTCTCCCAGGAGGAACACAGGACCCGGGAGAAAGAGGCACAAAGTCCATATTTGCTGAGGTTTGATTCCGGTCCCATTTGGGCCCAAACCAGTTGCACAATCTTAGACAATTCTTTTCCCCCTGCTCTGGACCTGTTAACTACCCTGTAAAATGGGAGGGGTCGGGAGGAGGAAGGTGCCAGAGCTCTCTAAGCTTCCTCGCAGCTCTAACAAGCTGCTGTTACCACCAATGGCACCACATGTGGTCATGTGGCTTCTGACTTGCTTGTTTCCTGCACGGGTAGACTTTGTAGACTGCATCTGTTGCAGCCTGTGGGAGCCCTGGAGGATTTCCCATGAGCCTCTCCCTCTGGACCTGCAAAACTCCCCATCCCCCACCTCCAGAAAGATCACACCTCTCTTTCAGGGGGCGCTTTTCCCTCTGCTTCCCTGACACGACACTTCTTCCCAGCTCTACCCCATTATTTCTGCCAAGCTGTTCCTCACCCCTCCAATCTGGTCAGCCCATTGCTGAGCGTTTCTGATTCATACACAGCTGAAAATCTCCCTATGGTGGAGCCTGAAGGTACGCGCCCTTAATGCCAGCATTGGAGAGACTGAGGCAGGCGGGTCGCAGAGAGTTCGAGGCCTGTGAGATCCTATCTGAAAAACAAGAACAAACTAAACCAAAACAAAAAGCGCTTTCTGGCTCCCTAATTCCCCACGAACTAAAACCTGTGCTCAGGCCTCGACCTACCGCTGCAGGAAGACTGTACAAAGGGAACTCCCAAGTTCTCAGCACACCCAGAGCCTGTCTTATTTTCGCGAGTTGGTAGTTCACTGGGTTTTTCTCGCTTGCAACTCCAGAGGGCGCTGCAGAGACCCTTTCTCTGGAGAGGAGGCGGCCCAGGAATCAAGAAATCGCGATGTTGGCCCGCCCCTTTTCCTCCCGGGCCAATCATTGATCCGAGGGGCGGAGCCACGTTGCACCTGCGCATTAAGAGGGGGCGGGGCGGCGCGGAAGCAGGGATGCTCGGGCGAGGGGCCGCCGCGCTGCTGCTGGTGCTGCTCGGAGCGGCGCGGTCGGGGTTTGGGGCTCCGCGCCGCTACACCCCAGACTGGCCGAGCCTGGACTCCCGGCCGCTGCCCTCCTGGTTCGACGAGGCCAAGTTCGGGGTGTTTGTGCACTGGGGCGTGTTTTCGGTGCCGGCCTGGGGCAGCGAGTGGTTCTGGTGGCACTGGCAGGGCGAGGGGCAGCTCGGGTACCAGCTCTTCATGCGGGACAACTACCCGCCCGGCTTCACCTACGGCGACTTCGGGCCGCAGTTCACGGCGCGCTTCTTCCGCCCTGACGAGTGGGCCCAGCTCTTCCAGGCCGCGGGGGCCAAGTGAGTCCCATCCGGGCCGGAGCTGGGGCCGGGGAGGTGGGGGCGCCGCCGGACGTGGCGCACTGGCCCCAGAGTAAGGAGCGTCTGGTTGGGGGTTGTTAAATCTGGATTCGGGCTGGAGACGTAACTCCGTGCAAAGATCTTGTGTTCAAATCCCCGGTAGAAAAAAAAAAAAAAAAGAAAAGAAAAATACAAGTTTCAGGGAGGCGCCATCCCTCACTATCTACACCTTAGCTGGGCGTGGAATCTGGACCTCATTCATGTGTGGGCCCCGACGACCCCCCGCGGGCTCCCTGCAACCTCGCTGGACAGTTGCCCTGTGCCTTCGACTGAGAGGGACAAACGGGCGCTCCGGCCTGGGGCGGTTGCTTCAGGTACACACGACACAGATGCTCTCTCTGCTGCCCTCTGGCCCGCCCTGTGCGGTTCTCCGAAAGGTTGTGGTGTCCGGAACTCTGGAGGTTGTGGTGGGCCAGTTCAGAGAACTGAAAACCCCAAACCGCCGCCGCCGGGGTATGAGAGGGGAGGAAGATCTGCTTTGTCTGGGGCAGGGCCTCCCAGGTGGGGCGACCTCGAGGGTCTTGCAGTGCCTGCGCTCTCAGGCAGTGGCGAAGAGAGAAGGAGATAAGGAGGTCCCTGTGCTTTCCATTTGGAGCAGTCTTGTTCCCTACCCGGCTCCTCAGTCATCTTCCAGGTTTCTGTTTCTGTTGCACCTTTTCGTTCTATTTTCCTAAGAGAAACTGAAACCAGCACTTAGCATTTGCAAATATATGTAAAAACCTAGAGTCAACAGAGAAAATGTCTGTCTTCTAGTGGCCTTAAAGATCTATACTTTACAAAGAAAAAACATTACAGATGTGAGAAACATGCACTACAGAGGACCGTGACTCTTAAAGGACTATGTGTCCTCCAAAGTTCAGGAGTCCCCCACACCGGACAGTGATCAGATCCTCACATCTAGGCATTATCTACTTTTCTGCCATAAAAGTAAATGAAATGCCATGTGATTGGATTATTTCAACACCTGCCTTTGTCCCAGCCCTTAGGTCTGCTGTCACTTCTGTTGTGGTTTTGCTTCTTTTTTTTTGCAGAAACAGGGGTTGAACTCAGGCCCTTGTTCTTGCCAGGCAAGTGCTTGTTCTACTGAGCCATCTCCCCAGCCCCTTTGCTTCTATTTTTTGAGACAGGGTCTCTTGCCCTATAGTTCAGAGTGGCCTTGGATGCATTGTCTAGCCCAGGCTGGCTCGGAACCCTTGGTGATCCTCCTGCCTCAGCCTCCAAGTGTTGTGATCACAGGTGTGTGTGTGTATCACCATGCCTGGTTTGTTACTCCTGTAAATAAGCAAAGATTACGTAGGTTTGGTAGAACAGCTTGTGCTGCTATAATTTCCTATTGCTAGTCCACATCATTCTCCTTCACGGCAAAGAGTTAAAGAAAGTTAATTATTTGTACCCAGAAGGGCCACAAAAAAAGAGAATCAGAGAGCTAGTTGTTTATCTGCTTCCTTTCCTCTGGGCTCGTTGGCTAGATACAAGGACTGTGACCTAGTCAACTTTGCCTGCATTGTTGCGATGACATCCCCAGGGTGGGGTGTTGTGTCTGCAGTGAGGTGCTTGGCGTCACTAATAATAGTGACTCACGGCAGCACATTTCCAGTTATCAAGTGCTCCCTACCAGTTTTGGTGGTGGTGTGGCAGTTGGGGATTGAACCCAGGGCCTTTGCACTGAACTACATCCTTACCCCTTTTTTACTTTTAAATTGTAAAATGGGGCTTGTGAAGTTGCCTGGGATTGGCTCCAATTTAATAATCCTTGTGCCTCAGCCTCTCAGAGCACCAGGATTATAACACCCACCTGGCTTTCCTTACCGGCTTTAAAGCTGAAGGAAGACATGCTGGGCAAGCTCGTGTTTGTAGCTTGCTGCTTACTTCCTTTGTCCATTTGTTTTGACATCCACAGGTATGTGGTCTTCACCACAAAACATCATGAAGGCTTCACAAACTGGCCCAGTCCAGTATCTTGGAACTGGAACTCTAAGGACATAGGCCCCCATCGGGATTTGGTGGGTGAGTTGGGAGCAGCTCTCCGGAAGAGGTGTGTGTCTGTGGACAGCCCCTGTCTTCTCTTCTGCTGCAGCCTCTGGGGGTTTCAGCTTCCTGATTTCATGTGTTTTATTTCCTAAATTTGCACTTAATAAGCATTCTGAAAGACTTCTGGCCTTTACATTTCCAGTATCAGGAGCTTTGAAGCTCTCATGTGACCAAAAATGACACACTCAGAGAAGTTCATGGCCTTCACTTTAAGAACCAGTTAGCTGAGTCCTGTGACCTGCTCGGTGTCTCATTCCCAATGCTGTGCCTTGCAGCAGTTGTAAATGTTGATTAGGACCTGGCTGTTGGTTAGATCCGGGCATCAGGAGCTGAGCGTCTTCAGTGTATCTGTTTAGTGACATGATGAAATGCCTACCTCAGTTCCTTCTTACTCTGTGGATTGCAACCTTATCCCTAACTTCTTCGTTACATTATATTTTGATAACACTATTTTTTAAATTTACTGTAATAATTGTGCATATTTATTGGGTCTGCTGCGATAATTCACTACATGTATGCAGCATGTTATGACCAAATCAGGATAATTAGATTTTCCATGTCCTTAAACATTTATCATTCGTGTTGGGAGCCTTCAGCCCATCACTTCCTCTTCATGGTACTGGAGATTGAGCCCAGGGCCTGGTGCATGCTAGGTAAGTGCTCTACCCCTGAGCCACATCCCCACCCAACTCTTTTTGTTCTTTATAAAATATATCATAGCCAGGCATGGTAGTGCCCACCTGTAATCACAGCACTTGGGAGGCTGAGACAGGAGGATTGCTGTGAGTTCAAGGCCAGTCTAGGCTACATAGTGAGTTTAACGCCAGCCTGGATTACACATTGAGACCTTGTCTCAAAAAAAAAACAATAAATAAATAAAAAATTGCAGGGCTGATACCCAGTGATGCAAAATAAGAAAATATATTATAAATTGTAATAGCTAATCATGGTGATGCATATCTTTGATCCTAGCTTCTCAGGAATCTGAGGCAAAAGGATCACAAGTTCAAGGACAGCCTGGGCAAATTAGTGAGACTGTCTTAAAATACAGTTTTTAGCCAGGTGTGGTGGTGCTCATGTGTAATCCCAGCACTTGAGATGCTGAGGCAGGAGTATCATCATGAGTTCCAGGCCAGCCTGAACTACATAGTAAGTTCAAGGCCAGCCTGGTACACATAGACCCTGTGACAGGAAAATAAATGTTAAAGGGACCAGTGATGCAGCTCAGCAGTAGAAAGGTGCACACAAAGCCCTGCATTGAGTCCCCAGTCCTGTGCAATAACGTAGTTACATATTATCTAAAACAGTATACCAAATCTTCTTGCTTAAGTGAATGATAAGAAGTAATTCAAGAAAATGGTTTTCAGTCTCACTCTCTTACCTAATTTTTAAAAAAATATATTTGGTACTGGGTCTGGTTCAGCATGCCCTGGGGTGGGGTGGCTTGGCATGTAGTGCCAGGGATCGAACCCCAGGCCCTGCGCTTGCCTAAGCAGGTGCTTAGTCCACTGAGCTATCTCACCGCCCCCCCCCACATACTCCTATGAGTGAATTGCACTGATATTTTAACATGCTGTAGCTGATTTTTCTTAGATTATTAGTTCTTTGTTTAACCACAGTCACTGCCATGTCTTTCTGTTTAAGAAACATACGCTATGGTCTCTACCACTCACTCTTGGAGTGGTTCCACCCGCTGTACCTACTTGATAAGAAGAACAAGCTCAATACTCAGCATTTTGTCAGTTCCAAAACGATGCCAGAGCTGTATGACCTTGTAAACAGGTGAGAAACAAACATGTGTGATGTTTATGTTTCGTCAAGGGAATCAGAGCTTCCCGTTAGGTGCTTTTAAGGAGGGAAGGGGGTGAGCATGATGGCGCAGTCCTGTAACCCCAGCACTTGGGAGGCTGAGGCAGGAGGTTCACTGTGAGTTTGAGGCCAGCCTGTGGTACATAGTGAGACCCTGTCTCAAAACACCAAAGGGGTGGAGGCAGGTACGTATGACAATAATCGACAAGATGTCAAAATAATAAAGTTGGTGGTTGTAAAATAATATAACATTTTTAATTTAGTGGTTTTATTAAGGTAAACAGTTTTTTTTCTCCTACTTTTCAAGTTTTCTGCAAGTAGTTATATTGTCTTAATACACTGAAACATCACACAAAACGAGGATGACGAGTGAATTTCAGGCCTCTGCTTGCCTGCAGGGCTCCCCTCCATCAGGACCTTGGAGAGCGTGCCGTGCACCCTGTGGGCTTGGGTCTCCTTGGTTCTTTTTTTTTTTTTTAATTTTTTTTTTATTTATTTATTTAAGAGAGAGAGAGAGAGAGAGAGAGAGAGAGAGAGAGAGAGAGAGGGGTGTGTGTGTGTGTGGCCAGCTCAGCCCACCAGGGGGCGGGGCTGGCTGGCATGTGGTGCTGGGGGATTGAACCGCGGTCCCTGTGCTTTGCTAAGCTTGTTCTAAGTAGGTGCTTTAGACCACTGAGCCATCTCTCCAGCCCAGTCTCCTTGGTTCTTACAAGCCCCTATACAGATCACCTATGAGCCTCAGATTTCCACTCTGAAATGAGCCCCAACTGTCACAGCACCTAGCACTGGCACTGTATAAGGTGTTATCCCTATTACTATTATCATTAGCTTATAACAACCACTGTCATTTTGGCTTTGTCATTACTCTTTACCATGTTTTACCCTCAACTGCCCTCATCATACTGAAGGGGCTCATAAAGAATGGCAAGCCCTCAAGAGTTACAGTCAAGCCTGGGCAGTTTAGGGAGACTCTGTCTCCAAATAAAGCTTTTTAATAAAAGACTTGGGTTTGATCCCTGGTCCCACATGTCATGCTAGCCCCACCCCTGGGACACACTGATCTGGGGAATGGTGGCGCATGCCTGTAAACCCAGCGCTGGGGAGGCTGAAAACAGTAGGGTCACTACGAGTCTGAGCTGCGTAGTGAGACCCTGTACCAAATACATAAATGAAAAATAAATAAAATACTTTGAGTGAAGTTCAGTGATAGACACTTACCTAGTATGGATGAGGCTCTCATGCGCCCATTTCCCCCAATCTCACCCCCCAAAGAAAAGAGGAAGGAAGGAGGAAAGAGGAAGAATAAGTAGTTTGTTCAAGGCAGGGAAGAGAACTCAGTTTCTGATGTAGTAATGGCTGGGTCTGTCCAAGCCTCTGCAAGTCTCTTGCAACTCTAGGCCTTCCTTTGAGAAGTCATCTTAGGATGGAGGCTGATGCAAGGGGGGTTCTGACTCTGAAATGAGAATCTGGACACCAAAGGCTGCCTATTGCCAGGCATGGTGGTACACATCTGTAACCTCAGCACTTGGGAGGCTGAGGCAGGAAGATGGGCACAGGTTCGAGGCCAACCTGGGCTACATAGTGCAAGGCCAGCCTGGACTATATAGTGAGATCCTTAATCCTATAGTTGGAAAGAAGCCCTCTTTGCAGTGTTGAGGATAGACTCAGGGCCCCTTTGCCTGCTAAGTGTTCTCCCACTGGACTCTGTCACCAGCCCGGAAGCACCACTTTTAATTGGAATTGGTTACTAGAAGGAAGCCATATTGTGTGCCCACACAGTGTACACACACACACACACACACACACACACACACACACACACACTACTCTTCCTAAAAAGGTAAAACAAAAATATAAGGTTTTATAGATATGCTATGTTTGTTTTAAATACTAGTTACATTAACAAAGTGATTTTTTTAATTGTTGTTCCTATAGTAATTTTATGATATTTTCAAAACTGGAGGAATTTTTTTTTTCAATGCTAGTGATTATACCCAGGACCTCATGCATATCAGGCAAATATTCTGTCCCTGAACTCTACCCACAGCCATAGTATTTGTTACAGAAAGGAGTCTACAAAGCTGTCCTGTTGGCCAGGGATATAACTCAGTGGCACAAGTGGCTGCCTGGCAAGCACAAGGTCCTGAGTTCAAGTCCCACGACAAATCAACAGCAACAAAAGACAAACAAAGACTGTCCTACAAACACATTCAGATCACAAACTGTTCTGCCCATGTGTCTTCCAGCTACAAGCCCGACCTCCTCTGGTCTGATGGCGAGTGGGAATGTCCCGACACTTACTGGAACTCCACCTATTTTCTCTCTTGGCTGTACAATGATAGCCCCGTCAAAGTAAGTACTTACCTGGTTTATTTCTTACTTATTTGTTATGATAAAAGTGAGTACAAGGAGCCGAGATGGGGAGTACAGTAAGGACAAGAGCAGCCAATGATAGCAACACATGGCCCCCGAACTGGAACACCTAACAGATATTAAAGGTTTCTCCCTTAATTCTACTCCTTAGAGTGTAAGCTTTGTTGTTCTTTTTGATTTCTTGATTTTGACAACATAGGTCTAGGTAGGCTTAAGTTCACAGGATAGAGCAAAAATAGGATATTGAATTCCTATACCAGGGATCACTATGCAAACAAATATTATGAGAAAATATCCAAAAATTATGTGCAAAACATAAAATTAAGTAATAGGAGTAACATGTAATGTCTGGTTTACATATTCTTTTTTTTTCTTTGCTGAACTGAGGATTGAACTCAGGCCTTTGAGCTTGCCAGGCAAGTGCTTATTCTACTGAGCTATCTCCCCAGCCCCTGGTTTACATATTCTATATTGATTATGTAGCTTAACTCTAAAGGAGCCCTGTCATTTATTTCCCTTACATCCAGGTTCTTGGGGGTGCCTTGCCTACCCCAAACCCCATGCCTGTCATCAGCCTACTAGCCAGTGTGTGGTGGCTACACATTTATACTCTGTGTTGGAGTTATTTTACAAAGCAGCAGAGGTCTTAATCTTCACTATGGAAAGTTTAAAAATTATTTACGTATTTTAAATTTTTTGTGGATTTCAGAGAGAAAGCTAAATATAAAACCAGTTTGAACATTGGTGTTAGCTCAAATGTGGAGCACATGTTTAGCATGCCTGAACCCTGGGTTCAATCCCAGCACCAAAAACCAAAACAAGGAGCCAGGCATGGTGAGGCACACCTGTAATCCCAGCACTCAGGAGGCTGAGGCAGGAGGATTGGTGCGAGTTTGAGACCAGCCTGGGCAACATACAAAGTGAGCTTAAGGCCAGCCTGAGCTGCATAAGGAGATCTTGTCTCAAAAAGACAAAAATTGGGGCCGGGGAGATGGCTCAGTGGAATAAGTACTCCCCTGGCAAGCGCAAGGGCCTGAGTTCAATCCCTGGTTCCACAAGGAAAAAAGACAAAAATAAGAATGTGACAGGTTGGTGGGTCTGTAACACCTCACCTGTCTCCTTCATCTCCCTCTCCTTCCCCAAGAGCTTCATCACTGGTGCCCTCACCTGTACATGCAGCCTTTTCCAGGTGGACACAGTCTCTAACCCAGGGCCCTCCGCTTTTGTTAGATTGAGGAGACCTTGGGACACGTTTCTACTGCAATGCTGGTCATTCCACAGCACAATCTCTCTCTCCAGACTGTGGTTCTTTCGGGCCTGAAATCATCAGTTCTGTAGCTTCAGGCAGGCGCACACTGTGCCACAGAGCCGGCTCCCAATACATGGTTGTTTCTGCAATCCTGTGTCCACAAAGCTGGTGTCCACACAGGCAGCCACAGGACCTCACCAAAGGTTCTGCTTGCTGTGCAACCGGAATTCTTCATTTTTTGGAGATGAGGTCTCACTGTGTAGCCCAGGCTCTACTTGAAGTTGCAGATTTTCCTGCTTTACCTTTGTGTACCACCACACCAGGCACCGAAAATTGAGACCCAAAACGCCATACTGTATGTATGTATGTATGTATGTATGTATGTGTGTATTTTGTCACTACAGGGGATTGCTAGGTAAGTACTCTTAACACTGAGCTATAATCAAAGCCTTTCAAAAATTCTTAGAGACAAGGTCTCGCTAAATTGCCTGGCCTGACCTCAAATATGTGATCCATTCCCAACTAGATGTGCTTTTTCAATGACTTGGAGGGTGGCATAAGTGCCTGGCTGGCAAGCGCAAGGTCCTGAGTTCGATCCCCAGTACTGAAAAAAAAAAAAAAAAAAAGGCAGTGGAATTGATATTTTCTTCTCTTTTCCAGCCCTGCATTTTTGCCTAACTTTTCGTTTGTTCCTTCACTTCCCACTGTAACCCACCCAGCCCTCTACCCTCGTTCCATGGGCCAAAACACTGAATAGGTATAAGAAGCCCACTTCAGAGAAAAACGGGGTTTTAACCGTCCTAACTCCGGGTGCATCTAGCACTCACTCATTCATTCATTCAGAGTCAGGGTATTGTCACTTTTAATCCTCTGAAAACTCCAGCAGGTAGGTGATCTTTTTCTTTTCATTTGTTTAGTTGTTGGGGCTTTGTTTGGATGTGGGTTTGGTTCTTTTACAGATAACTAGATTTAAAAGGTAAAGTCAGGCGGCGACCTCGCGCGGCGGTCTCGGCGGTCTCAGCGCCGGACTGCGGAGCGCGAGGTCGCAGGTTTGCGCCCCCGTCCCGACTCTTTCTTTGGGCTGGTGAGATGGCTCAGTGGTCTAAAGCACCTACTTAGAACAAGCTCAGCAAAGCACAGGGAC